CGGAGGGGTGGGGGTGGCAAACAATACAGTCTAGCCCGTGGCTCATGTAGAAGAGGGGATAACATTAAAAAGCCTCACCCCACTGCTTGCTCAGCTGAGAAAAAAGTCACGACCCTAACACCCACTTATAAATATCTCTTGTTATATTAAAAAAAATATTTCCAGGGCCCACCTGGCCCTGCACAGAAAGGGTTAACCTTCAATATTTGATATCAGGATCACAGGGTGGAGGTGGTAAGGAGAGGCAGATTGGGAAAAGGGGAGGTTGAAAAACAAAGAGAAGGGCAAGCCAATATGTAACTAGGGCCCTCCCAAACACCCAGAACAGAGTGGGGAGGGCCCCTGTTAGAGACAGAGACCATGCTATACCCTCAGGGCTACTCCGGTCCCCAGCCCCCGATGCCCTGGAGTGATCTGTCCTTTCACAGACCCCTGTGAGGTCCCAATATCAGAATCCATCCATCTTTTCCTCTCAGTCACAGCCCATTCAACTCACCACCCAGCTTTCAAGGTCCCCTCTTAACAGGGAGCAGCCCCCTCTCCAAATAAGCCTGAGGAAAGCTGGAGGTCCTTCCTGGGAGGAGGGTATTCTGGGGGTGAGCCACTTTTTGGGTCCCCCTTCAGTCCCTGACCAGGCGATAAATGTGGTGCTGGGCCCCCCTCTCACTGGTGGAGACTTCAAAGACGTAAGCAGTGCAGAGCAGCAGCTCCTGGGTGTCTCGATTTGTCACCACCTGCCAAGGAGGCCAGGAGAAGAGGTTTATGCTTGGAAGGGAGAGAAGGGACCACTGTGCCCTCCCTCAGTTATCATGGGGTACCCAGGAAAGGGGTTCCCACCATGTCACACTTCCCAGGGAGAGGGGATGCCCAACATGCCAGGTTCCTCGTTTGAATGGCCTCACATCAGGCAGTGTATCATGTGTTACTGGGTCAAGGGATCCCACCATATCATGTTTCCTGGACTAAGGTTAGGATCCTGTAAAGGGGGTCCCCTTAGCTAAGAACCCACTGTGAGTCCTTCCAGGTCAGTATCCCCAATGAAGGGGAATCCCCTCATGAGAATGCTATGGAGTCTCCACCACATCAGTTCCCTGGGAAAGGGGTCACCTAAGCCAAGGGTGCACTGCAGGGCCCCCACTGTGCCAGTTCCCCAGGTGAAAGGGTCCCTGGGGCTGAGGGTTTGTGATGGGCACTCCCCTCCCATCTGGACTTCTGCTGCAGCGCAGCCCCAGTGCGTCACCTGGAGGATGGTGAAGTTCTCCAGGACACTGTTCATCATGTAGCGCTCAGGCAGCTGCCGCAGCTTGTGCAAGAAATTCACCAGGTACTCACACATGGGTGAGCGCAGCAGGCGGTACACGAACCTCCCGTCCTCTAGCTGGGCGCGCTCCGTCTGAACCAGGGGGCAGGGAGTGGGGAGGACAGTGACTGAGACACACAGGGGTCACCCCAGGAACCCAGCCTCACTCTGTGCCTCTCAACTGCCACACTCACTCTTGACTACCATCCTCCCTCTTCCACTGCCCCATCCGCAGTCACCAGAGACGGGAGCCTGAACCCTTGGGTGTCCAACTCAGGATCACTGAGCCTGAAAACTAGAGACACTCCCCATAGCCCCTCAAAGCTGGGCTCTGAACCCTCAATGACCTCCGAGCTCCTCTGACCTCCGATACCCTCAAATCCTCCAAAGGCCCTTTAATCAGATCTCCAAACTCTGTGACCTCTGAACTTTAGACCCCACAAGTCCTCAGCAGCCCAACTGTGACCCCTGAACTCTTCCAGATTCACAAGAACCTTTTGAATCTTAGTCACTAAATCTCTGTCCCACATGTTACCTTTGAACCCTCAAAGTGACCCCTATATGTGACTATGACTTTAGAACTCCATATTAGCTCTAAGCTTACACATTAAACCCCCAAAGAGGCTAGGACACCCGCACCCTGCCATGAAGACTCCCCCAATGCCTGAGCTGTCCTGGCTCCTGGTCCATTTACTCTACACCCCCAAATCAGCAGGTGCCTGGACGCTCAATGGCCCAGAGCTCCACACCTCTGGCCTCACCTCCACTTTCTCCACCACCTGCTTGCCAAAGGAGCAGACCTTGGAGGAACAGGTGAGGGTCATGTGCTCCAGGCTCTCGTACTGGCTGCTCACGCCATAGAAGCCACCACTGCTGCCGCCGGTCCCCACCTCCTCACCACTCGGGCCCCAGTTCAGGTCCGCCTGGGGGATGGGGAGACACAGGTAATTTGGAGGGGATGTCCCTTATAAGTGGTGGGGACTCTTCTAACATGGGAGTTCTGCCCTATGGCCTAATTTCTCCCATTTGCCCCTGTAGTTGCCCACCTCTCTTCCTCAGCGTTCAAAGTCCCCCTCCCCCCCAAGGGTGGGTTTCTGCAGAAGACCCAGCCTTCCATCAGTGCTATAGAAGTAGGAGTCCCCAAATGATTCTGAACCTCTCTCCCTAGTAAGCCCTCCACCAAAGGAGACCTGGAATTCCACTTTTTGCTCCTGAGTTCAGCCCCTTGCCCTAGCCTGTGTGGCTCAGTTGGTTGGGCGTTGTCCTGTGCACCAAAAGGTTGCCAGTTTGGTTCCCGGTGAGGGCACATAACCAGGTTTTGGGTTTGATCCCAAGTTGGGGTGTGTACAGGAGGCAACTGATTGATGTTACTCTTTCCCCCTCTCCCTTCCTCTAAATATTTTTTTTAAAAAGTTCAGCCCCTTCCAAGGGCTTAGTTACTAAGGAGGCAGTTACTCCCTAGCAACCAGAGGTTCTACCTCAGAGTCCTTCCCAACGCTGGTTGCTAAGGCAAGGGGCTATTGCCTAGCAACGGGGCCTGACGGGGCTTAGGGGACCCTGACTCCTCTTCAGAACACTCTTCCGGGCCCTTTCAGCCGATTCTCAGAGGTCAGACCCCTCCATTAACCCAGAGTCCAAATGAGCAGACAATCCATTATGCCAGGTGGGGTCTAATGAAGCCTAAGACCTCATATCACCTTTGGCCGGAGCCCCTTGGTCACCTTCCTGGGAGGCACACCTCTTCATCTTTCTAATTACTAACTTGACTAGGTCACTCTCCAGGGTGATTAGATCTCTCCTCAGAGGCCTGACTCCATCCATCACCCTGGCAACAGGGCCTTGTGAAGCCAGACAAAAATTGAAGGCATCTCCAGCCACTCCCCTGTGTCCCTTCAGATGCTGGGCTCCTAAGGGTCGCTCTCCAGACCTGGGACCTGGTGAGGCCTGTCTTAAGTCCTGACAATGCCTAAGACCTCAGCAGCACATCCCAGAGCCATCCTGGGCCTTGACTTCACACATTAGAACCCTTTATAAGAGCAGTAGCTATGGGTCCAGCAAGGCCAGCAAACTTCAGGCCCTTAAGCAGGCTTCCTTCTCAGAGACTAGATCCCTCCACTGCCCTGGTTACCACAAGGGTTAACACCCCTTAAACATTCACATTTATTGAACCTCTATAGCATCAGCCATTGTACTGGACACCAAACCAAATAAGCCTAAGAAAGACACAAATGGACCCTTATTCACAGTTATATATATAGCACCTGGCATAGGGCCTTGTATCTAGTAAGTGCTCAATAAGTGATTGTTCAATAAAGACAGGACTTTACAAAGCCACTCCCCAGCTCCTTCAATGGCAACCCTCAAGGCCGGACATTCTCTAACAACAGGGTCTGGTGGAATGTAGCATCCCCTCTTTAGAGGCCAAATACTCCAGGACATTCCTTAGCAACAAGGCTTGGTGTGGTCAGGTGGGATGTAGGGAAGTCTGAAACAACACAACCCAATCCCAAGGGCCATATCAGTCACAGGACTGGGTGTGGCAAAATCTAGTGGGATCTGGGGAGGTCCAAGTCCTATCCCTAGGCCTGCACTGGTCCCATGCATCCCTTCCTGGGAGCAAAACTCCTTGGAGCTCCTTGTTGCAAAGGGGGCTGATACTCTGAACTAAAAGAATGGTAAGGCCCAGGCTGACCCGGTAGGGCCAGAGGCCTTAGCTGGGAGGCCATGTGATTTATGAGCACTTTTGTTTTTGGTTGCAGAACTCACCCAGAACTTGACCAGGAAGAAAGCGTGGGGGGGGCCACGATCATACAGCTCCCGCAGACCACCCTTTTTCTCAGGGAATTTGTCATAGATCTGTCGGACATCCACACTCTCGAGGGGGGGTGCTCCAGGACTGGGGCAGTGCTGGCTGATGTGTACAAACAGGTGCCTCTGGTACTGGGGAGGAACATTCATAGGTGAGGAGCGGGAGATGGGCTGGATCTCCAGCCCTCACTGCCCAAGCCAATGTCACACCCCTGTCACCACCCCCAGAGCTCCTCCTGCTAGCTGTCCCACCCTGTCCACCCAGACACTGGGCCCAACTCCCAGGCACTGTCCCCACTCTCCTCTGTCCCTTCATTCCCACAGTACCTCAGTCCCTAAGCCCTGTCCCTACTGCCCAACTCTCTGCCCTGTCCCCTGCTCTCCATCCTTACAGCCCTGTCCTCTCCCATTTTCACCCCAGCCTCCTGCCTGGCCTCCCAGACCCCAATCTCTCCTCCCCAGTTCATCACTCATATAGCTCCAGAGCTGACTCTCAACCTTCCCTGCTTATAATCTTCCCATGGCTCCCCAGTGCCCCCAGGACAAAGACCCAACCCCTCAACCTGGCCATTTTTGAATAGCTATTCATAAATGTTCCATCAATGGATGGATAAATGGATGGATGGGTGAGAATCCACATAGCCCACACCAAGACTTCCTCTCTGTTCCCGTTCTTATCACTTGTCCATATCCTGAAATCTTCCCCATCTTTTCTTCTGATACAAATCCTCCTCCATCTTTCCAGATCATCCAAATATGCCTCTTTCTGGTAGCCTCCACTGATCACAAACAGATGGGATCTCTCTACCATCACCAGGAGAAAATCTGGATCCCTCAGCATGGCAATGCCAGCTCCTCTAGAACCAGCATCTATCCACAGCCTCACCAGTTTCCCACCATATTTGATTATTTGTTTCCATCTCTGTATATGAAACATCCTGTTCTGCACATGGCAAACTCCTATGTAACCCTCAAAGCCCAACTCAAATGTTGTCATCTCAGGGAAGCCTTCACTGACTCTCCAGGCAGAATTACTTCTCTGTACACCCATAAAAACTTTAGTTTCCCCCATTGGGGAAACTATCAAGAATCTATAGTGTAGAGGCACTGTTCTGGGTCCCAGGGCTACAAGGTAAAGTCCCTGACCTCATGGAGCTCACAGTCTACTGGCAGAGAGAGAAAAAAATTTAAATCATCTTCAGATAATATAAATTTCAGAGAGTAATGTATGCTATGAAAAAATCCTAATAAAGCATAATAAGACAGTGGAGAGTGATGGCAGCTAGCATTTTCCATAAGGCGGTTTGGGAAGATAATCAGGGGCCTGAATGAATAGAGGGATAGAGTAGGGTATCTGGGGAAAGCATATTCCAGGCAGCAGGAACAGCAGGTGCAAAGGCCCTGAAGAAGGAGTAGGCCTGGCATGTCTGAGAAAGGGCATGGAGGCCAGTGCGGCCAGAGTTGAACAAACAAGGGTGAGAGTGCAGGAGATAAGGGCAGAGCGAGAATGGGGTGAGATCATGCAGAACTTTGTGGGCAACTAAAAGGACTTTAGCTTTTGTTCCTAGTAAGATGGGAGGGTTTTAACCTGATCTGACTCGGATTCTATCAAGACCACTATATACAGTAATTGCTGTTTATGTGGCTGTGGCAGAGACTATGTTTTCAAACCCGCGTTTCTTTTCACAGCTAAACTGCATTTCCCAGACTCCTCTGCAGTTACATTTGATCATATGACTAAGTTCTGGCCAATGGGACATGAGCAGACCTGATAGTTGCCACTTCCAAGCCAGACCCATAAAACCTCCTCACTCTCTCCCTTCCACCATCTGCCAGCCAGATGCAGAGAATTCAGCAGCCCTAGAAAATGTCAGACCCACAAAATGGAAGAGGCCTGGATTCCCCAAATCACTGTGTGAAAGGCTCCTGTTGAACACACACACGGAAATGTTACATGAGTGAGAAACTTTTATGATGTTCAGTCCCTGGGTGCTAGGGTTGTTTCTTCTAACAGTTAGCCCACCCTGACTAATATGGCATCTGTCTCCTTCCCAGCCCAGCAAAAGCTCAAGCCTAGAAACGAGTTTTCCTTTCCCAAGTTCCTAGTATCCACCACAAAGCCTGGTGTGCAGTAGGCACTCAGAAGTGTTTGATGAATGAATAAATGATGTCCTAGAGAGTTTCTCTGATCTTCCCAACCCATGGCCTCATGAACTTCCAATTCCTTTATGCTAAGAGTTGTCAAAGTGTAGTCTCGCGACCAGCAGCATCAACATCACCTGGGAGCTTTTTAGAAATGCAAATTCTCAGGCCCCAGACCAAGCCTACTGAATCAAATATTCTGAGGGCAGAGCTCAGCAATCTGAGTTTTAATAAGCCCTCGATGTTATTCTGATACTTGCTAAAGTTTGAGAACCACTACTTTATGCTTCCCCTTCCTCTAATCCTCTACATTCCAAAACACCCACAGTGACTATCCCAAAATTGCACTCACAGAGTCTACTGCATCCGGGGGTTCCACAAAGGCCGAGAATTCCACCAGCTGTAACCGGGCAGTGCCGAGGGCCCGAGCCTGCCAGGCTGGGGGTGACGGAGCAGGTGGGGGCAGGGCAGGGGGTGAGAGGGCTTGGGGGGGCTCGTACCCTAGAAAGAGAAAAACAAACAATAAAAATTGCTAACATTTATGGACTATATAAAGCACTGTTCTCTCTTGCCTGCCTCCACTTAGAAGCTGAAAAAGCTAAATACTCACTTTCCCAGCCTCCCTTGCAGCTAGAGGTGGCCATGTGACACAGTTCTGGCCAATGAGACGTTAGGGGAAATCTGCTCGGGGGCTTCTGGGAAGGAGTTTCTTCCTGAATGAAAAAGACAGAACTTTGGGAGGAGAAAGCTTTTGGTTCTGGTCAAGTCCTGCTTGGGACATGATGCCTGGAGTCACAACAGCCATCTTAGGGACAGTAAGACAGAGTCCAAGGGATACTATAGAGATGCTAGTCCTGATATTGCTGAGCTGCTGAGTCAGCACATTAGTAGCCCACCTTCAAACTTTTTGTTATGTGGAATCATTAAAGCCTTTTAATTTATGGCACTATTAATTTGGGTATTGTTACTTGCAGCCAAGAGGATTCCTAACTGATGAATCTGTGGAACCTAAGTGTAATTTTTCTTCAATGTGAGTTTGCAGGACCACATCAGCATGGATTTCTGGAAGCCATCTTTGCTATCAGATGGGCAGAAGAATGAAGTCACCAGAGGAAGGCAGAACCAAGTAAGTCCTAATGCTACCATTTGAGCCCCTGGATCCAGTCATACCTGAAGCCATAATACTTGAAATATCAGTTACCTGAACCAATACATTCTGGAGGGGTTTTCTGTTTGTTGTTGCTGTTTTTGTCATCTAGCTTGACTTGGGTTTCTGTTACTTGCAGCTGAAAGAATCCTGACTAATACACCTCCCAATGTCTTTTAGGCTAGCAAGTGGCAGAACACAAACCCAGTGTGTCTGGCTATAGGTGCCATGCTCTTAACCACTATAAATTCTGTCACTCATCCCTCCCTACCCCCACACACACTGCCTCCAAGCTGGACCTCAGTAGGAATGTGACCCTGATTAATGAAAGGTTGAAGGAAAGGCACTTAGGGTTGATGAAAGGGACAGGAGATGAAGGAGGGTGGAGAGCAGACTCTTACCTGGGAGGTCAGTAGATGGAGGAGTCAGTGACAAGGAGAACGGTGTCTGCGAGAATGGCTTCACACTGAGGGAGAAAGGAAGCTGAGGGTGAGCAGGTGGAAAGATGCTAATCATACCAGCTACTGTTTACTGAAGGAACAGGACAAGCTGGACCGTGTGCTGGCACATTATGTGCACATTTTAACTGAAGCCTCCCAGCCTATGAGGTAGGTGTGATAACTGCTCTTCTCACTTGCACAGGAGAAACCTGAGGCACACGGGGGTCACCTGACCCATGCAGTCACTCAGCTGGGCACAGTGGATCCTGGACTCAAACCAGGTAAGTCCCAACCACAAAGCCTGGAGTCTCAATGATAGTTTGGTACAGCTCACAAAATGGCAGAAAGAGAACAGAAATGGGGTCTCAAGAGGTGGGGAGAATAGGAAATTTTGAGAAAAAGGAGGCTGAAGGGTTAGGAGGGTAGGGAGAAAATGACCAGCAGCCCAGAAATGGGATACTAGGCCAAACTTTGGGGTTAGGAGGCAGCACAACAGAATCCAAAGCAGTATGTCCATAGAACTTTCTGTGATGAAAATGTCTATACCTGTGCCATCCAACACCGTAGCTACTGACCACGTGTGTCTACTCACCACACACTACTGAGCAGCAATATGGCTCAGGTACCTGAGAAACTGAATTTTTAATTACATTTCATTTGAATTAACTTAAATTTCAATAACCACATGTGGCTAGTGACTACTATCTGATAGCATAGCACTAGAGGCCAAAGACCTATGGGTATCCCAGGAGATGGTGGTAAGGAGACTGAGAGGTCAGAGGTCAAGGGGACATGATGAGGTCAGAGGTCAATAAGAGGTCAAGGATCCAAAGATCAAGATCAGAAAGACACAAGCTCCAGGGACTTTCAGACTTTGACTCCCAAGGGCCCTGACTTTCCATCCAAATTCTGAAATCTAAACTCCAAACCACATGACCAGTACCCTACCCACTGATTTCATTTCTTGTCATCAGGCCACTGCCCAAATGTCACCTCCTCAGAAGCCTTCCTGACTCCTGTTTAAATAAAGCAAATACACCCTGCTTTATTTCCCACATTTATCCCTTTCTTATTAATGCTTATTTACTTGTTTATATGTTTATTGTTTGTCTCTTCCCCTCTCCAAATATATAAGCTCCATGAAGACAGGAATTCTAACTTGTTCAATGCTATGTCCCCAATCCAAGCAGAGTAACAGGCACTTAATAGCTGCTCAGTAAACATTTGACTGACTGACCAATGGCTCAATACTAGCTTTCTCTCAGTTCCTGAAATTTACCAAACTTTCCTACCTTGGGGCCTTGGCACATGCTGCTTTCTCTGCCTAAAATGTTCCCACTCCTAGTCTTCATCTGGTGAAGTCCTAGTCAGCCTCCAACATTACCTCCTCAGAGAAACCCCCCAGAACTCTCTCCCTCACCCCAGAACCTGTTGCAGGTATTCACACCACATCACGCACACTCTTCAATTTTGTGTTTATGCACATGATTTAATTAACATGAGTTTCCCCAATTTGACTATCAGCTCCATAAAAATTAGAACCCCAGAAACCAGTGTGGCACCTGCTGAACCACCCACCCTTCCAGATCAGCCTCCTCCCTTTAGCTCTGGGGACTTGTTCAGATCCTTCGTGTGTCCCCATCCAGCAACACGCCCCAGCAAACTTTCTCTCCCAGCCTGGATCCCACAGCCTGTCACTTTACTCTTTCTCTGGCAGCACCTTCAACACCCCTGCCTCACCGTCCTGAGGTCACATTGCCCTACCAACACCCAGCCTAGACCCAATGACTCCTTTCTGGGCTGAAAAGTGTAATTCCCAGGTGCCTCTGGGGCCTATTTCTATTTTTCTGGGCTAGAAACATATCCTCACCCTCAGGGCTCTCTCGGAGCTATAAAGAACACTCCCATTTACCTCTGAGGCCCATTGTCTGCCTTCTAATTCTGAGAGAACACCTGTTCATGCCCAAGAACCACCTCTATGGGATAAGAACGAGCTTTCCCATGAGCTTCTGGGGCTCCCTCATCCCTGGTGGGGGCCTCTGGACCAACAATTGCCTTTCCCGTGAGACTCTGGAGCTCCATTCAACCCTCCTGGTTACTTCTGGACCTACAACTGCCTTTCCCATGAGTCTCTGGGGCCCAGCCAATCTGACTAGGCATCCTTCATACCTCTCACATTCATCAAGTCCCATGCTGAGCTCATTTTTTCCCCAAACCCGCTCCTTCCCCAGGCTGCACATCTCTGGATAGTCCCCCCAAGCCCAGTCACCAAGCCAGACCCCAGGCACTCTCTCTGCCTCCTCCCTCCTTCCCAGCCCATCAAGCCCCAACACCATCTCTCCTCCTCCTGACTCTCTCCCCTGTCCCCTCCTCACTATCCCATCTCAGACCTAGTCGTCTTCTTCAGACCATCACCCCACCCTCCTGCCTGGGATTCAAATCCAGATACCCTGGCTCCAGAATCTATGTTCACAGGGTGGTGGGAACTGGGAGATGGGGTAAGAAAGAGCTGTGGAAGAGAGTGGAGGTGGGGGATGGGTGCTGAGGCGGGACAGAAAATACTCACTCTGGAACATTCCAGGGGGTCCCAGAGCCCCCTGACCAAAACTGGAAAAGCTCAGAGGCCTGGAGATGAGACAAAGGGGGGTCAGACCGTTAGTCCACTGTTGAAACCACACACCCCACCCTCCAGCCCTGAACCTCACAGTCCCCAACCCAGGCCACCTGAGGACCAGCGGGACCCAGTTTGGCCTGCAGAGAAGGTGCTGAGATGAGCTGGGCCGAGGACATGGTGGCCATGGTCTGGAAAGCCTTATCCTTGGAAACCTGGTCCTGGAGGAAGAGTTGAAGGTCCATGTTAATGGGGAGTTACAGTGGACACAGCAAGGGTGGGGACAATGACAGGGCAGGGTAAGCATCGGGAGATGCACAGATGGGGGGTCCAGGCAAAGGGTTGAGGGAGGGTCCAAATCTCTCTCACTACTGCCCCCTGCCCCTCCTGCCTTCCTCAGGAATGTCTGGAGTAAGGGAGTGGGTGGGAGGATGGGCAGAGGGACTTACCACATTCAGGGCCTGCCCATGGGAGTGGGGAAGGGTGCCAAAGAAGGAAAGAAAACATGATTTAGGAAGTGAGGCCTGGACACCCTACCTTCCTTCCCTACAGCCTGCCACCCTGAGCTGAGCAATGAGCAGAAAGTGAAATGAAGGATGAATATGGAACAGAGGGGGCCAGGCCTAGAGCGGGGAAGAGGTTCCCAATGCCTAGAATGAAAGACAGTAATGAGTGTTTCTAGGTCAATGAAGAGCTGGAAGTGAAGGTTTCCTGATATGCAGGCAACAGGAAATGAGAATTTCAAACCCAAAGGGAATAGGCAGTGAACATTTCCTAGCTGAGATAGGACAGAGGGGAACAGTGAACTCCACAAAAGACTAAGAGAGCTCTGGTCAGTGTGGTTCAGTTGGTTGAGTATTGTCCCGTGCACCAAAAGGTCGCCAGTTCGATTCCTGGTCAGAGCACATGACCAGGTTGTGGGTTCAACCCCCGATTGGGATGTGTTCGGGAGGCAATTGACCAATGTTTCTCTCATTGATGTTTCTCTCTCTCTCCCCCTCTCCCTTCCTCTCTCTCTAAAATCAATAAAAACATATTTTTAAAAAAGAAAGACCGGAAGGAAAGATGTTTAGACCTAGAGAGAAAGGAAGGGGAGGCGTCTGGGTACAAAAAAGGAACAGGAGTGATGGTCCCCAAATCCAAAGAAAGAGGCAGAAAAGACTCCATACTCGGAGGGGTCTGCGGCCAAGAGAGAACAGGGAATCCAGATGAAGGAAAGAAAAGGGATCCGAAAAACTCCAAAAGGAAATGAAGACATCTGGGCACAGAAAGAACAGGCAGGCCACACGGGGACAGGGAAATGGGAAGATGAACCAGAGGAGACCAAGAGGAGACCCACACAGCACAAGAGGGAAAAGGCGGGGAGGACGCCAGGAAGAGCAAAAGGAGGGCAGGAGGGGTGAGGAGAGGGAGGAGGAAGACAGCAGGAGCCAGAGGAGAGGCCCAAAACCCCAGTCTTCTTACCTGTCCCGAGTTAGATCTCTATACCCCTCTCTCTGTGGATCTTTCCCTAACCAGGGTCTCGATCCACCCCCATTTCTGGGCCACTAACCCCTCACACTAGATCTGTGCTTTCCCCATTCTGTCCACCTTTCTGTGTGAATCTGTTCCCATTTCTTGGTCTCTGTCCACCCACACACACACATACCAGCCTCTGTCCCTCCTTCTCTGGATTTCTGTTACTCTCTCTGCATTTATGTCCCCTCTCTCTGGGTCCCTGTCCCCCTCTCAGGATGTCTGTTTTGGTCCCTACCTTGAGCTTGGACTGGATTTCCCTCGATTTCCTTCGGGCCAAGACCTGGATGTGACTAGAGACCTGGAGGGAGTGACAAAGAAATAGATTCAGGCCAGAGTCACTTGCCCCTTGTGTCCCCTACCCCTTTCCTCCCCCCAGGTACCCCACAGAACTGCAAGAACATGGGAAGATGACACACATAATATGCCAGCTATCTCAATAGTATGCAAACAGATGTGAGCATAAAGGCCACACTTTTCTCACTAACACTTCTGATCTTCCCCCAGTAAATCCAGGTCTCCTTTCCCTCCCCCATCCTCTCTTTGGCTCTTTTGGTCTCTCTAGCTCTGGTTCTAACACAACTGCTAAGAGACCTATACCAAACAGGCACAGAGTATACTCATGGAGGTGCCAAGAAGACAGACAAAAGCACACGAACCACATCCCCCTTGAACCTGAATCTGTCCATACTGGTAAAGTCCTGAGAAGACAAGCCCCTCCCGGACAGAAGCCCACAAGTCAGTCCTGACACCTGTTTACGAGTCCGGGTCTTCCCCGTTCTCAGCTTGATGTAGCGGGCAATCAGTTCATTCCGACCTGAAGAGTCAAAGATGGAACAGAGTTAGGCCTTCAGCAGAACTTCTCAACAGAGGGGACACCAGGGAGGGAGAGAGAAGCAGTAGTTCCCAGAGGTCCACAGCAAGCTGAACTCTAGATGGAAGAAAGAGTTATGACTGGGTTCAAATCCCAGCTCGACCACATGTTAGCTTTGTGGCCTTAGGCAAATCACGCAGCCCTTCTGGGCCTCAGTTTCCTCATCTGTGCAAATGGGATGCTAGCTCCTATTGAGTCATCATGAGGATATGAAGTGCTTTTATGCAAACAGTGTTTAAAGCTTCATAAATATCACTTATTATCTTTTATTAATCAATGGGGGCCAGGGCAAAGGAGAGGGGCAGACTCACCGTACATCTTGCCTTCATCAGACAGGATGATTTTCCGCCGGCCACAAGGTGGGTAGATGGCCAGGGCCTCCTGGAAGCTCTGCTCGATGTCTGGACTCCAGACACCCTCTGCATCTGGGCCCCCATCTCCTCCAGCCCCCTNATGTCTGGACTCCAGACACCCTCTGCATCTGGGCCACCATCTCCCCCAGCCCCCTCACTGCCACCGGTGCCCTCCTCACTTCCTTCCTCACTTCCTGTCCAGGCACTGCCATCGTCCAGGGGGGCCCCAGCCCGGGGTTCCCCCATCTGGGCCTGGAAGAACACAGAGCTCAGCAAGTTTCCTCCGACCCACCCAGGAGGACCTCAGAGCTTGGAGGGCTGGGAGTCCAGACTCCTGTGTCTGAGGCAGGGGGCAGGGGGTTCGGGGCTGAGACTTCTAGGTCCTGGAGAAGGGGCTGGATTTCTGGGGAGCTTAGGGTGAAGAGTGTTCTCCTCTGGATTTCCAGTGGAGCCTGGGTTGTGATGAAGTCTTGAAGACCCCATAGTAATGTGCAGGGCCCATGAGGGCCAGTCATTTGGGTATGGATTACTAGTTTAAAGAAGACAGGAGTCAGGGCCTAGTTGTAAGGAAGGGGTGTGTGAGTGAGATCTTAGTCCCACCCCAAGAACAGGTGGTAGGATGTGAGCAGCAGCTGCTGTTGGAAAAAAAGGGGCACAGGCCCTAGTAAGGCTGAAGGGATCCAGAGAGCGGGGGACAGAGACTCAGAGAGACGGAAAAGGACAGAGTCCCAGAGAGAGGGAACAGAGACCCAATGTGGGGGCACAGAGACCCAGAGGGAGGGGGCCAGAGACACAGAGGGTGGTGGACAGAGGCTCAGAGGGAGTGGGGGACGGAGAGCCAGAAGGAAGAGGGACAGAGATTCAGGGCAGAAACTCAAATGGAGACCAGGACAGACCCACAGAACCACAGACTGGGGGGGAGAGGGGGACAGGGGCTCCCTGCCATCAGGAGAGCCAGAACAAAGGGCCCAGGCATCCCCTCCCCCAGTTTCCCACAACCCCCATCAGGGGAGGGGCCGGCCAGCGAGGACACCTCCCCTCAAGC